TTCTTCCTCGCCAAGTCAGGGAGTCCAGTGTCGATCTTCATGCCCTTATGAGGGTCTTCACCGAGGGGAATGAACTCAAAGTCTCCTTCTGGAATGGGTCGGAGAAGTTCATGTTTGATGTTGGGGGCTTCGACTTCATCCTTGTCAAAGCGGGTGTCGAGCGAGATGGAGTCGACCATTGGTGGAGCCCTTTGTTCTTCTATTCGAGCGGGTTATGATTCAGGTCGAGTAATGGTAGCTCTTTTGGTGGTTCATGCTCCAGTGTCGACCATGCTCTGCCCCTTAGAAGCCGCGTGAAAACATCTTCTGGCAGTTGAGATGTCCCTGTGGATGGTGGCGACGCATCCCCTCCAGATGTAGAATTTCATCTTCAAATGGATAGTGGAGGGCATGGCAGTCAATTCGGCCAGTGTCGGTCTCCCTAGGATGTAGTTGTAGAGAGAGGGGAAGTCTATCACCAGAAACTGCATCTTGATCTTTCGGGAGGCAGTCTCTTCCCCGAAGGTGACTAAAAGCTCAATGTAGCCCCACGGTTTAGAGGTCGAGTCGTTGAATCCTTGCAGGTTAGGTCCCACATATGGTGACAGGTGGGTGTCGTCGAGCTGTAAGGTTCGAAACATATGACTATACATGACGTTGATGGAACTCCCCTCGTCGACCAGAATACGGTGCACGTCGAAGTTAGCCATCCTTACTCTTACCAATAGAGGGACGCTCGAGTTAGGGGACCCATCGGGAAACTCCTCCAGGTATAAAGTGATCGGTTCATATTTTCCTTTGAACCTCTCGAGTTTCACCGCTTGGGTTAGGGTTCTGTCCACCAACCTGGCAATCTTCCTCTTCACGGAGTTTAGGGAGAGGTCGTTGAATCCCCCGCCAGTTATGACCATGGTGGAGGGGAATTTCTCCCATCTGCTATGCATGGACAAGGGTTCATCCTCGTAGTTGTCGGGGACGTGGAAGTCCTCTGACCTTATCACGGAGAAAACTATTTGGATGAGGGTCGACTACTCCGATGGTCGAGTTTCTTCCTTGACTTATTTCACCTCGTGGGTGTCTCGGCGAGGGGCATCATTGCGTCGGTATTGCCCAAGTCTTCCACCCTTGATGAGGATCTCAATGGCATCCTTGAGGTGGACGCAGTCTTCTGTCATATGCCCATGACTTTGATGGTACTGACAGTATTTGGTCCTGTCAGCCCCGGGCTTCGCAAGAGCAGGTCGAGGACGTCTGACGCCTTCTTCCTTGAAGTCAATATTGGAACACTCCGCCAAGATGTGCTCACAGGAAGCGGTCAGTGGAGTGTACTCTGAATCTCCCAGCTGGTCCCCTGTGCTCGCGGGGATCGTGCGGTTTATCATCCCTTTTCTTCTCACCCGTTCGTCGAGAAGGGCCCGCGTCCTGGTGTTTGGGGCATTGGCTTATCCGTGATTCCTAGAGTCGCAGGCTCTGTTGGCCACTTCCTTCTCCTCTTAGTCCATGTAGGCTCTGGCTTTTTCAAGGAGAGCGTCGAAAGATCGGAGCGGCTCAATACCGATGGCCTTTTTGAACTATGCCCGGGAGGAGTCCTCTCTCGACCAGGTATCTTTTCATGTGATCGATGCACGGTACCTGAATGGCCTCGTGGTTGAATTGATTGATGTATTCCCTGAGGGTCTCGTTGCTTCTCTACACGATAGCCTCAAGGGAGGCCTTAGTCTTTGGATGTCGATGAGACGTGATGAAGGAGCTGATGTACTAGTTCTTAAGGCTTCTCTAGGAGGTGATCTACCTTGGGGTGAGGTTCTTGTACCAGTCCATCGCAGTTTTTCTCAAGGTCACGGGGAACAACCGAAACTTGATCGGCCCCCCGACGTTATGGTAATGGAGCATTGCCTCAAACCCGTCAATGTGGTCGACGAATCTATAATTATGTCGTATTCCTTTAGTTGGGGAGGTTTCTCCATTTCCCTAGGAATGGGTGCCTCCATGATTGCTTGGGATAAGGGACCGCGGGGATCGTCTTCGTCACTTCTATTTGGGGATTGGAAAGGGGGACCGGTTGTAATGGTGGTCGTGGCGATGACCTTGGCGGCGAGGAGGATCCCTTGGCCAAGGTTGGGTTTCCCCGGTTCCCCTGTTTCTATTTTTAGGGGATCTTCGTTCCCTATGCGGGGGGTGTGGTCGCGCCTCCCGGTGGCTTCGGGCAGCGTCCTCTCCAACGCGGGGCCTTGCCCAGTTCGTTGGGGAGAAAGGCTTTGCGGCTTGTCCAATCTGTGTCTCCGCGAGGGAGACAGAGGACGGTCTTCGTTCTGACAGGAAGGAGGGGTGCCAGGTCTCCTGTGTCTTTTAGGGGACCGACGAGTCTGTTCGAGCACCCTTAGTCGCTCACCCTGTGAGAAGATTAGGTAGTTTGTCTAGTTGATGGTCGCAAACAGAGCTCTAGTCGTGGCATTAGCGCCCGCAGGGACGGGGACCTCCTGGAAAGCATTTGGTTCATAGTTCTTGGGGGGATGGACATCCTCGTGCGATTGAGAGTGGGATGACGAGGAGGCGATCATCCCGTCTTTATAATTTTACTCGAGAACGGCCATGTCGATGTCGTTCCCGGAATTTTTGTTACCAATGTTGTCGCCGACGTTGTTGTTGAGTTTGGTGAGATGGGTGTTTTGGTTGTTGTTGGCAGCTAGGTCGGCCATGACAATTACGGAGTTTGTTGGAGGATTGTTTTAGTCTTGAGATGGAGATGGGGAAGCTGGTTTCCCACAAATGGCGCCACTGATCGTACTTGACCAGAAGGGATTGTCAAAGCCTTCATGCTTCGAGCCGAGCAACAGTGGAAGGTGAAGTCGGGGGTACCTGCAAGACACTCTGATGCCAAAGTGAGGTTCAGAGCTAATGCAAGTAAGTGAGTATGAGAGTGTGAATGAATCAATATCTGACCCTTTCTTATGAGAGGGTATTTATAGCCCCCAGCGTTGGGCCAAGGTCTTCAATGTTGGGCCACGATGAGGCCTAACAACGAAGACTGTCAGGGCTTACGTGTGTATGGAGTTCATCACGTGACCTTCTTCCTGGTCAACTGTTCCGAAAAAACAAGTGTTGGACCCGTGATTCCCGGGGGGGCAGTATGATGACATGGACACGTGGGCAACGTCTTCCTAGCAGACACGTGAGAAAATGCCCAACGGTCTCCAGCTTGGGTTGCATGCCTTTGGGCCTTGGGCAAAGGCGCTGGATTGGGCCTCCCCAATAGTGGGGAAAGTGCTGGCCCAGTCCAGAACACTTTCCGTTAGGTCATTTTTGCACATCATGCATCATTAAACATTAATTTGGCATGGGATCAAAGATCTTGAAAATTTAGGGTTTCTCTATTGCTTTGAGGCTTTTATCTTACTCAAGATTAATTCAACCGGTTCATTCATCAATTGGGGATTTGGAATTAGGGTTTTGGATTCATGGTCATTGAGAACTTCTTTCTCATCAAGCTACAAGGTTTTCATCTTCATTAAGGTTCCTTCAAGGGCAAGATCCTTAGGTTTCATAATTGCTTCATTTTAGGTCACTTTGAATTAGGGTTTTGATGGCAAGATACTTCTTCATTCAATATGCATCCAAGGCGAGAAGATTAAGGGTACATCTCCTCATGGTTGAGCTTGTTAATATTCATCAATTGAAGATGTGATTAGGGTTTCGAGGCAAAGGACTTATGGTTTGAATTGCTAAAAGTATGTGCTATGATACAAGAGATATGAGGAAAGAGGTTCCCTGTGCTCAAGATATTATTATTTGTTGCTTGTCATGCAAGTTAATTTGGATTTGAGATTGACGTGGATTTGAGAATTGAGATAAGGTCATTGATTTGAAGTTTTCATTCAAGTGATGACTTAAGTTAAAAATTTGTTCAAAGTTGTCAAGATTTAGTTCATGCAAGATTGAATGTTTTAGGTGGATTTCTTGATATTCAAATAACAAAAGCATACTTCATTATTCTTCCATTCCAAGTTATTGAATGTTTTAGGTGGATTTCTTGATATTCAAATAACAAAAGCATACTTCATTATTCTTCCATTCCAAGTTATCGAGGTTTAAGGCTTCATACAAAGTCATGATTCAAGGATCATCATCATTATCCATTCAATTACAAAATTTCAAATCCTAAATGTCATAATATCATTCAAGTTTTCATACATGATTCAAGCATCTAAGCAAACTTCATTCAAGTTTCATTCAAAGTTTACAAGCTACAAAATTTTCGCCATTCCATTACATTTTGAAAGATTACATAAAAAATGTCTTGAACCTAAGATCACTAAGCTTCAAGATTCATCTTCACTCCATGTTGGTAGCTAAGTCATGACAAGCCAAATGTTCAATGCAAACACCGTGTTCAAAACCATGCCAACAAGCTGCATAAACCATGCTTCATAAACCTGCCATGTAAACAATCCAAACTTCTTAAAGCCTGCTCCCAAAATGCTCGTCAAAACCATGTCCTTGCTACACCAAAAAAGCCACTGCATCAACCAAACCTGCTGACATAGTGGAGAAATCACGATCACCAAACCAGTTACATACCAGTTGGAGCAATTAACAAAAACAGTTTACCATTCAATTAACCAAATGGTCTTGACATAACAAAATAAAAGCAGCACTGCGTAATAACATAAATAGTCCCTCACCATTACAAAATCATGAAGTAACCTTGAGCCCGCTTGAACAACTTCAGCTCTGCACCCATTCAAAGTAAACAGTTCAGAAAATATCAACAAGACCAAAACAATTAACCAATCCACATTAACATATTGAACCAATTTCAAGAGAAAACCACAATAACCAACCAAAACAGTTAAACTGAACAAAACAGATCAGGAAAAAACTAATTCTACTAACTGCTTGTAACAGAACCAAAACTCCATAAATTCTTTCGAGCTCATACTAACAGAATCCCTAACTAAATTCAACAGTTGTAACTGAATCAATCTCCACCCTCCATTCCATAAAAAACTCTCTTCAATCCTATGATCCCTAATCATCACCTTCAAACTATAAATATTATAGTTCCCTCCAAAAGCTTCAACCACACACCATTTTTTCCATTTTCATCTTCCTTCACCTTCATCCTCTCATCTCTTTCTCTCTGCAATCTACAATCACCTTCAACCACAACCTTCATTCATCTTACACCATGCTCCATCTCTGCACTCTCTCAATCCTCACCGTCACCACCACAAACTCTCTGGATCTCTCTCTGTTACGCTGACACAGAAGCAACAAGAAGAAGAGGAGAAAGAAAATGGAATCTAAAACGAGTAATTAAAGGAGTGTCTTCTCCTCTGCTTCTTCATCTTTTCTAATGCTTCTCGTTACAGGTATGAAGCTTAGGCCTCCTGAACCATAACCCCAAGGAATCGTGGCTTGAATAGCTGACAACGATGTTTAATTTCATTTTTCTCAATGTAGGATTTTGAAAGTTTATTTAGATTTAGGGCAGACGAAGAAAAATTGATGAAAACGAAGAGGAGATTTGGAAATAGGAGAAGGAGACGAAGCTGGTGGTATATTCGTTTAGTAATTCCGATCTTTACACCGCCGCGACCTCCGCCGTAAGGTGTGCCAGTGCGGTGGCGACGATTCTGATCTTCAACGCAATGTTTCACCATCAGTTTATTTCTTTTTTTTGTTTTTGTTTTTTATTCTTTTAAAATTTGAAATAATAAATATAAAAATAGTGAAATAAAAATTGAATTAATGAAATCTGGATAATGTGTTGGTACGTGATTTGGATTGGATCCTGCTGGGACTTACCACGCGCCTACTTCCCATAACCCAATGTCTTGAACAAAAATGTGACTGTGGACTCGACCTGTTTGGGCCTCTGCACTATTTTACTGGATCAATCATCTTGAAGTAATCCTCACCCCCTGACTCATCTATTTTCCTTTTGATTTAGTTTTAGTTTTAATTTTCTTTTTCACATTTTTTTGGAAAATAAAAAATACAAAAAAACAGTAGGATTTATTAATAGATTTCAAGACCTTTTAGAACTTAATTGGATTTTTTTCTATTAATTTCTTCATTTCCTTATGACCTTTCTTCACATTTTTACCATGCTTTTGATGCAATTTTGTATGTTATGGTTTGAATAAAATTGACAATGGGTATTGTTGATTGATTTGTATGATTTCTTGGCCTATAATCTTGAGCCACCAATTGCATGTTCCCTTAGGTTATTCTATTAGGTGATTAAATTTCCTTTTCATCACTTAAATGTTGAGCTAGACTTTAGGTCAATATCTATGCATGATAACATTAGGCTAGGGTTTTCCTCTCAAACCCAATCTTAGGTTCATTCTTTGCATTATAACATTAGGCTAGAAATACCTTTTGTTACTCCTCTCATTTGCATTCTTTTTCCATTAAAAAGACAAAAATATTTTTCTTAATCAAATTCAAAAATACTTAATAAACATGATACGCATAATACGCCATGAGCCTTAAGCAAATGGGGAAAGATGAGTGGGAGCCTTTCATACCTCTTCTTAGAGTGTTTTGTACATGAGACGCTTGTCTCCTTCGTACAAAGTATTCACGCTTATTTCATAGACTTTAGTATAATACACTTCAACAAATCCAAGCATTTTTTCCATTAGGGATTTTTACCTTTAAAATCTTTTCAAAAAGGGTGTGTTATTTTTGTTCTACCGTAATACATGCTATGCCTATTACTAGAGCGTGAACGTTAACATTATCCATAAAAAATACCCAACAAACCAACATTTTCAAAATAAACTGTTAGGTCCATGGTTTTAGGATTGACAACAATTTTGATAAAATATGGTTCTTAACTGATATTGAGGAAGATGTCACGACAATTTGATCATTTGTCATGACAGGTTCAGCTGTCATATGTTTTAGATAGATGTTGAGCCAAATGTCTTGACATCGTGGCCTTCTTTACAACAGGCGTCGTTGTTATTTTTCCTTGAAGATTTGATTGAAAAATATGAAATTTTGGATGATTTTAGTTTTCATACAAGCGCAGCTAATCAAGGATATTTTAGGAACCGTGCACATTTGACTTGGTTTCATAAAAAGGATCTTTGAGACTTTTTATGAAATTTTGAAGATTTATTCCTATTTTTGTGTGAAGATCTTGCAGCTGATTTAAAAAGTGAAGATTGAATTTGATTGAAGAGTCCAATCCCATTCTGCAAGAGTCTATAAATAAGGACTTTCTAAACATAAAATACCAAGCATTCACAACAAGAAAATGGTGGGTGTAATATAAGAGTTTAGGGTATGGGAGTTTCTTAAGTTCTTTATGTTTTTGTTCTTTGTATGTCACTCATGTATCTTCTGATACATTGAGGTGGACTGATTGTTCTCACTCATAAGATTTTAAGCAAAGAGTTGAGTATTGTTCTTAGTTAAAGATTTTAAGCAAAACTAAGTATTGTATGTGAAGTCAAGCTTCCCAACTTGTTTTGATGAAGACAAGCTAACATAGAAGGTTTGCAAAATGGAATGGCTCAAGACTTATAGCATATCAAATTTAAAGAATTATCCAAGTCTTGAAGAATTCTATCATTTGATTAATCATATTATCTAAGGTATAAACATTCAACTCTCAAATATACATACAAGTGTTCATAATGATAGGTTCATATTTTTGCATGGTCATTGAACATGTTTTGGTTGAAAAAATTGAGTTTCAAATAAATTTTTAAAGTTTGAAAAAAAAATCAAATGCCTTCTATCCCCCTACAATAGTAGCGAGAATTGATATACCCCCATTTAAAAAAAAATTCGTCTCTCAACAAACGTAGATTCCATAATCAAAAACATTTTTGCCCAAGATTCCATTTGAAATACAGACGTGGCCAGGATCTGTTTGCCGACTGGGTCATGTATGCCACTGTGGCTTTTTTTAATACTTTTTAATATTTTATTTAATTGTATAAAATCTTTGCATTGTTAAAAAAATTCATCAAGTGAGTTTCAAACCCTGCAGCCTTTACTTGCAAGCCATGAACTCAACCACTGCACTAATTGTTTCAATTTGTATATTACTCGCTTTGAGTACTACTTTAATTGTATAACAGTATTTTATTTTGAATAATTATAATAGTATTTAAAATTATCAGATCACCTCTTTCTTTCCAATCAGTACCACAAGATCATTACCATTATCAGATATTATAACAACACCAGAAGAATCTTTGAGTGGTTGATCTCTGTTAAGCACTCATAGGACTATGAATTGAGGCTGTCACCAAACTTCAACATAGTGATCTGTAGAATTTTCAGGACTGAAGAAGCCAAAGGTGAAGTTATCACTGTTAGAGCTTAGAGTTTCAGGGTCCTTTATAAACTTAGTTGATGTAATTGTGTCTATGGAAACACACACATCTAGAAAACATAGAATGATCAAAATGAAATAGAGGTTTGTATAATTGATGAAATCCATCACTGAGATGATTGCTTCATGTTATTATGATATATGGTGAACTTTATTTTTCATAAATGACCACTAATATTCAACAAAACTGTTTTATGTGTGTCTTTGCAGGTATGTATTGTAATTTTCTTATTGTATGGTCGTTGTCATGGAATTTTCGAAACTGATTTTATTGAATTTGGACACTAAAATATATAGAATATTTGATTTTAGCTCTCCGATATTACAAATTTAAACTAAAAACAAAAAAATGATAACTGTTTTAGAATCAAGGATAAGAAAAACTTAAACATTACTTGGTTTTTTCTAACAAAGAAAATCATGTGATTGACAAGAAAAAAATACTTTTCTATGCAGGATTAATGTACTATTAAAGTGTCCTCAAAAGTCATAAGTGGTTGTAATTAAATATTGTTATAATTATTTAAAATAAAATATTGTTATACAATTAAAGTAGCATTCAAAGCAAGTAATATACAAACTGAAACAATTAGTGTAGTGGTTGAGTGCATGGCTTGCAAGTAGAGGGTGTAGGGATTGAGACCCAACTGATTCATATTTTTTAACAATGCAAAGATTTTATACAATTAAACAAAATATTAAAAAATATTTAAAAAAGCCACGGTGGCATACATGACTCAATCAGCAAACAGCTCCTGGCCACATCTACATTTCAAATGAAATATTTGACTAAAAGATTTTTGGTTATGGAATCTATGTTTGTTGAGGGGCGAAAAGTTTTTTTTTTAAAAGGGGGGTAAATAAAATTTTGCTACTATTGCAGGGGGTAGAAGGCATGCTGCATAGAATCAGTTACTCTTCCTGCTGTAATCGGTTACCCTGTGTTTTTCTCATGTTCCTAGGCTTTTTCTAAAAGGTACCCAATATGCAGTAACCGGTTACACCTGAACAAAATTCAAATATTTTTGTAATGTTACAGGGGGTAACCGGGTACCCAATATGCAGTAACCGGTTACCCAACTGAACAAAGGCAAAATTCTGAAACTTTTTATTTGAAATGTTTGTTTCTCTTGAAATTAAACCATTGTATTCTTTCATTGATTATGCTCTTTTATAGAGGTGTATAGATGATATAAAAACTCTACTATTTTAGATTTCAAAACACTTTTTTCATCTACAACTCTAACATTTTCTAATCATCTCATCTTTCGAAATTTAAGTGTTTATAAAACCAGAATTTTTAGTGAAATTTTCTGCACTTAGTTTTCATTGAAAGGGGACTGGAGTACTCTTGGACTGTGAGGGGAACCAGGATATATCCTTGTGTAGTTTATTTTCTACACTTTACTACTTTCATAAACTCAACATAAACCAGAAAAATAATCCAAATATTAACTAAAAACCGATAAAAAAATTTAAATACCTAATTCACCCCCTCTTAGGCGCATTTCATACTTACATTATATTTGAAGTATAATCTTCTATCTGGTTCTTTGGTTTTTTGTCACGGGTTTGTGACAGGTTTTACCATTGAGGTGATTGGTAGGAAGTGAGAAGGGGATCTCATATCTAGAGGGTTCTAGGTAGAAGTTTCACAATGTAGGGATTAGGTGATAAGTTGTAAACTAGGGTTGGTTTAGCTTTGAACTAATAATATCATAATGAATTTCCTTCCTGCATTAGTAGCCCCCAGAGTAGGTCATGTTGCACCAAATTGGGTTAACAATTGATTGTGTTATTTATTTTTCTGCAATTTACTTTTTGTATAATCTCCTATTTTAGCAAGTGTTTTTCTGTCAGCAGATGATGTCATAACATATGTCTTGACATTGTGTTGTTGTTAGGACATCAGTCTTGACATTTGTTTTAAAGTGCTAGAATTTCACAAACTACAGAGTTCTGATTTCTTCATTGCACTATGAGGATATGTATGCA